TGAAACTGACCAGATACACTAAGTTCTGCCCTGGGCAAGCACATAGAAGCAGTAAGGACAGCAGAAAGACACTGTAAGGCTAGCTGACCTGCCTAGAAGTGGTTCAGTCCTAGTGCACCTCCTTGAAGAAGCTGAGACCAGCAGAGGCTGAGAGCACCTGGGCTGTCTGAGAGAGACAGCTCCCATCCTGTGGAGCTGCCTGCAGGATGTGCAGTGTACTCCAGGGATGGAATGAGCACTAAATTATTATTTTAATTTGGTAACTGTCAAATAACCTAGCAGCCAGTCAGGGGAGCATTTGCCTTGATTTTGGAAAGGCCCAATAGTGTCCACTGGAAAATGCTAAACTTACAGTATGTAAGGTTATCACCCTCATCTATTATCACAGGATCTATACTTGTAAGAAAAGGCATCCTCACCCTTCTCATGGGTGTATTCTCAGGAAACATTTGCAGGTAGTCACTGCAGAGAATACAGGGCTTTTCAGTTCTCTACCTCCCCATATTATTTTCAATCTGAATCACAAAATCAACTGAATTTGCATTACTTTATGGTGCAAAGAGAAACCGTTGATGCTTTTTATTATTATGATTGCACGTTTGGTGGGCATGTGTGTGGGTCTGAGGCAGAGCTAAGCCTTAAATTGTCTCTATATTTCTTTGTTCCTTGTATTTCTCCACCTTGTGTCTCTAAACCGCTTCACACAGAGCGTGACATATGGTACACATTTAGTAAATGTTCTTTGCCCTATTGGTTTCCCTCCAACCGCCCCCTCCCAACTCCAGAAGGAAACAGACTTGGAATTGACCTTATAGTACACCCTCCCTCATTTCTTTTTTATTGAGATAGGCTGTCATTATATAGCCTAGGCTGACCTTGAATTCACTATTCTCCCACCTCAGGACCCCAGTGTTTGGATTATAGACAAAGACTAACATGTCTCACAAGGCTTGTTTTTTAACTGGCTACAAAACCCATCAACATCAGAGTTGCCACGACTACCCCACCACCTCCAGCCCCATCCCCTGCAGCAATGGTAGCAGTACACCTATTGCATACGGGCTGCATTCTGAGCATTGAACAAAAATGCTTTATACACATGACCTTGGTTGCTTCTCAAAACGATCCTTTGAGGTGGGTAATATTATCATCTCAATTCTGTAGATGAAGGTAATAGGGCTTAGAGAGAGCAAACAAAATTCCCAGGCTCAGGCTCATACTGGTAGTGCACAATGGTGATGGAGCCAACAAGTCCACAATCCTCTCCATTACTTTAGGCTTTAGCTACTACAGATTATTTAAAACTAAAGAGGAGCAGAAATTGGAGACCAGTCTCTTAAGTCAAGGTCTAAGGTTTCAGGTTCTACCCGAGAGAGAAGCAAGCAGACTCTCTTACTGCCTTAGGTGTTTTATTGCTTTATTTTGTTTTTGTTTTTTTTATGATTTACTTATTTCCATTTTCTGTGCATTTGTGTTTTGTCTGCATCTATGTCTTTATGAAGGTGTCGAATCCTCTGGAGTTGGAGTTACAGTTACAGCCAGCCACTGGCTTTGGGTTTTTTTGAGACAGTAGCCCTGGCACTTGCTCTGTAGACCAGACTGGCCTTAAACTCACAGAGATCACCTGCGTTTGCCTCCTGAGTACTGGGATTAAAGGTATGTGTTGCCACTGCCCAGCTTTAGGTGTCTATTTTTTTTTAATATACAATTGGATTTTGTCTGCATGTATATCTATGTGAGGATGCCACATTGCCTGGAACTGGAGTTACAGTTGTGAACAGCCATGTGGACTATGGGAATTGAATTGGGTCCTTTGGAAGAGTGCCCAGAGTGGTCAGTGCTCTTAACTACTGAGCCATTTCTCCAGCCCCTAGGTGTCTATTTTTAAAAGTATTATACTAGAATCAGAGACTCTGAAGCCAAACCGAGTTCAAATTCTGGCCTACAAGCAGTGTAACTTAGGTTAGAAATGGATCATCAGGTAAAGGCACTTGCCAGGTCAGCCTGAAGACTTGAGTTCTGCCCCTGGAGCCCAGGATCCCACATAAAAGTGAAAGGAGAAAACCAACCCAGTTAAATTGTTCTGCAACCTCAACTTGCTCTTTCTTGCCCCACCCCACACACATAATGCATGCATGCTTGTGTGTACTCACACAACAACAACAACAATAATACATTTTAACATAAACAAACCAGCTGGATGGTAGTGGCACACACCTTTAATCCCAGCACTCAGGCACACACTTTTAATCCCAACAACAACAAGAGCTGTGTTGCTTGCCTCCTCCCCACAAAGTAAATATATGTTTGTTTTTTTTAAAGGTAGGTGGAAGATTTTTCTTAATGTTGTCAAACTAACTTTTATTTTTAATTTCATTTAAAAATTTCCTTCTTTCTTCATTCTTTCTTTTCTGAGGTAGAGTCTTACTAAGTAGCTCAGGTTAGCCTCAAATCCATAATCTACCAGTCTCCACCTCTTGAATATTGGGATTACAAGAGTGTGCCAGTATGACTGGCTAACATTATTTCTGTTTGCATCTTTTCAAATGTTTGGTGTGTGTGTGTGTGTGTGTGTGTGTGTGTGTGTGTGTGTGTGTTGTTTCTTTCTATCCTTTTTCCATTTTAAAATTATACTCTTTGACTGCAGAGATGGCTTAGAGGTTAAGAGTAAATACTGTTCTTCCAGAGGAAGAACAGTTCCCATGTCTGGAGGCCCACAGTCTCTGTAACCCCAGGGGCTCTGATGTCATATTCCAGCCTTTTAAATACCTCTACTCACATATACACAAACATACATATATACATAATTAAAAATAAAAAAATTATAAGCTTGAACCAGGGGTGATGGCACATACTAATAATCTCAGCATGGGGCCTGAGAGTTTGAGGCCAATCTTGGGATACATAGAAGGACACCCATTTCCGAAACAACACAGTGTGTTTGTGTTCTTGTGCATGGATGTGCACATGCATGTACACATACATCCCTATATCTTCCTAATGACTCACAGGATGAATCACAAGTACTTTCTTCCTGTTTGTGGCTTACCTTTTTTACATTGCTTAAGATTATTTTTGCTATGTAGACTTTAAAAAAACTCAACACAGCTGTCTTACTCGTTTTTTTTTAATGGCCTCCAAAATTTTATGTCACACACAGAATTCCGTGCCTTGTTTTAACTGTATTTACCTATTGACTGATTGATTTATTTTGAAATAGCATCTCTCTAAGTAGCCCTGGCTGTCTCAGAATTCACTATGTAGACCAGGCTGGCCTCAGACTCATGAAAATCCACTTGCTTCTACCTCCAGAGTCCTGGAATTAAAGGCATGTGCCACCACTTCTGGCTGTGTTTTAATTTTATTGAACAATGCTTTTTCAATGTTTTCCCTTCCATTTCTTATTTTAGGATAATATATCTTTGTGGTCATTAGAAAACAAATCAACATTATCCCCTTAGAGTGACAAGACCTGTATTTCCTTTCTTTATCCAGTATCAACAAGAGTTAAAGGAACAAAAATCAACTTGGCTTCATGAACAGTGTATAACAACTAAGAAATTTTAATAAAAAACATTCCAAATATATCTACCTCCAGGCATGAATATCTTTTGGGAAATGTTCATAAGCTCATCTCCGTTCCTAATAACAGAATTTGAAAGGGCCTTACAATTCATAATACCAGAAGCATACCAACTATGAAAATAAAAACATATATGAATATATATCATACAAACCCAAATAAATAAGAAGTAAGTATCTTTGGGCTAGAGAGACAGCTCAGCATTAAGAGCACAAACTCTTTTGGAGGGTCAGTTTTGTTCCCAGCACCCACATAGCATGGTTCACAACTGCCTATAACTTTATCCCAGGAAATCTGATACTTCCAGTGGCCAGGTGTACTTTAGGCATTACTCACATATGGACATGTGTATAATTAAAAATAGTTAACTCTTTTTTTTTTAAACAGGACCTTTATAACTTAGTAATATGGTTAGTAATTTGTCTTGTGAAAAGCTATTTTCAGAACTCAGTTGTATTTTTGAGACAGGGTCTTATTAAATGAAGGCTGGTCTCTCAAGCTTACTTGCTATCTTAGGTTGGCTTTAAAAGTTCCCAGTCCAATGCCAGGTGGTGGTGGTACTCACCTTTAATCCCAGCACTCAGGAAGTGGAGGCAGGTGGATCTTTATGAGTTGGAGGCCATCCTAGTCTACAAAGTGAGTTCCAAGACAGACAGGGCTATTAACAGAGAAACCCTGTCTCAAAAAAAACTACAACTAAGGCTAGGCGGTGGTGGTGCATGCCCTTAATCCCAGCATTCTGTGAGTTTGAGACCAGCCTGGTCTACAAGAGCTAGTTCCAGGACAGCCTCCAAAGCCACAGAGAAACCCTGTCTCGAAAAACCAAAACCAAAACCAAAAAAAAAAAAAAAAACCCACCCAAAAAAACAAAAACAAAAAAAAAAAAAAAAAAAAAAAAAAAAAAAAAAATCCCAGTCCTCCTATCACCACCTCCTAAGTGCTGGGATTACAGGCCTGCACCACCATGCCTAGCATAATAGGGAATATTTAAAGGGCTTTTTGTTTGTTTGTTTTTTCAAGACAGGGTTTCTCTGTACAGTCCTGGCTGTCCTGGAACTTGCTCTGTAGACCATGCTGGCCTCAAATTCACAGAGGTCTGCCTGCCTCTGCTTTCCAAGGGCTGGGAATAAAGGCATGTGCCACCACTGTCTGGCTTTTTAAACTTATCCCCCCCCCATTAGTATATTTGGGTAATCTTTCAAGATCTGATGGAGAAACGTAGAGCTACTAATAAGAAAAGAGATAGATTAAAGGCCCATTCTTATTCCATTGTGTATCTTTCAGAGAGTTAAGAAATGACATAAGCTCTCTCACATTTGAAACTGAATTCTCTCTTCCAAACTTCCCTTTCTAATAGATCATGTAGCATGTCTTAATTTGAGATAGTCAAAGACAGCATTGAGAACTTCAGAAGAGAAACAGAAGATCTTATACCTTTATAGACCATTCATCCATCAATGAGCAAACTGGTTGAATTTAGCCCTTGTCACATTAGAAATGCTGGGTTTTCAATGCAGCATCTTTGAATGTGTTTCTCATGAGGGTTCACATCCTAACTTCCTGCACAAAAGCATTTGTTTTGAAGATGCATTTGCTAGAAGCAGCCAGCGACTCCTGTTCTTTTTGTAGACATGTCATCCACTTGGGTAGTGCTTAAAATAAAGTACCCAGCTAGAAGGGAGCCTGGAACAGACAACAAGCAATATAATACAAACTGTTACGAGTAAAGTGTGTTACTCAGATCCCGCTAAAACACGTCTCCTTTATTTTGAAGGCAACTTGGCTAATGGAACCAGTCCTTCCTTTGATCATCAATAGGGCCATCTTTTTGGGAAACCAAGTCCCACCTCAGCTGGCAGTTTTAGCTGAGGCTGACATGAAAGAGAGAGGGCCTGTTTAATTATCTATTCCCTGCAAAGCATGTCTTTTCTCTCTTTAAATTAATGATTCTCCAGCTAAAACCCAAGCAAGAATGCCATTGAATCCTAGATGGGGAGAGAGATGATCATTTGATCTCTATTATTATTGCTGTTGCTGTATTCTTTTCCTTTGGGCAGCATATAGTATCTGGATTGTGTCAGCTTTATAGCTATAGCTTTCTGGTCCTGAGTGATAGATTTTTTTTTGACCAAGTGTGTGAGAACAAAACAAAATAAAATATAATATAGAAGCATTTATGAAATCTCCCAAGGCTTGGAGAAAGGAGCCATTGTACAGTAGATGTTCAGTGAATTTTCACAATAATTAAACATAGCAGTGAATGAGGGGCAAGTCTTGAGAATGTTAGGCTGGTTGCAGGAATCGCTTTTTATTTTTCCCATGTGTCTGTCTGCATTTGAAAGAGGTAAAAGAGAGGGTGGTGGTGAACTCCAGGGGTGCTGTACAATACAAGCCTCAAACCTAGTGCGGTTACAGGGCACTTGAAAGAGCCACTGTGACTTGAGAGATGCAGTAAATGCAAAGCACACACTTAGTGGGGAACCTTGCCTGGTACCTGTAATCCCAGAACTTGTGAGCATCAAGAGTTCAAGATCATTTTTTTTGGCTACATATTGAGTTCGAAACCAATCTAGACTGCAGGAGACCCTGTCTAAAGAACAAATAAGCATTGAGTGTGACAAACGGTATAAATAATATTTGTATTGATCACATGTTGAATAATAATATTTGGGGTATATTGTGATTATATACAATAAACAAATGTTTCCGTTTTAATGTGTACTTTTAGAATTTATTTATTTTGAGATGGGTTTCTCTATGTATCTGTGGATGTCCTGGAACCTGCTATGTAGACCAAGAAGGTCTCAAACTCATTGATATCTACTTGCCTTTACTTCCTTGGTGCTCAAGGTGGGCACCACCAGACCAGGCCTGGTTTTAAAATTTGAGGAGTAGAATTTAAAATGGCCTATGTGGGTCACATTATGTTATTGACGAACACTGTTCTAGGCTTCAGGGTTAAGCTAGACAATGACACATCTGTTTGTTTGTTTGTTTTCAAGACAGGGTTTCTCCCTGTAACGGTCCTGGCTATCCTGCGTTGTTGTTGTTTTTAAGGGAAATTGTTTCCCTGCAGCTTGTAATCTTTACCCTTATCTAAAATCTAACCCTGACTTAGTTACCCAGTTACGAAGGCTGTCCTGGGCCTGAGATGGTGGAGTTGGAAGGTAGAGAGTGGGAAGCATGTGTAATTGAGCTCCCTGTTGCAATACCCACTCCAGGACTGAGACTTGGGCGGGGGGCGGGGGCGGAGCTGGACATCTTGTGCCCTGCATTCACCCAGAGTCACTGTAGGACTGGGCCAGAGCTGGTTTTGGTCACTAGCGTTTTTTGCGAGGTTCTGTTCAGGGAGTTCGGCCAATGGGAGAAACTTTATGGCATCCCCTGCTTCAGGATTTCCTCTAGGATCTGGGGCATAGCCTGACCTGGAGCCTGAGGCCAGGACGGGATCGGAAACCTTTGGAGGACCAACCATCTCCACACAGTCTGCATCCGCTATTCCCTGGCTTTGGCGCTTTTGGCTGAGGCCCCACAGGGTCCCCGGCTGCGATGTGTCTGGGACCAGAGGAGAAAGGGTGATTGTATTGGATAAGGGTGGCTGCGGCGGCGCCGAGGATGCCTTAAGAGTCCCCAGGTATCTGCTTTGGTCCTGGCGGCTGGGGCAGTACTGGTCCAGTCTCCTAGCATTGTTCGCTAGCGGCGCTAATCGGGAAGGGAAAGACGTCAGCGCCCCAGGTCTTGCACCTTTCCCAGCGACCGGGTTTCCTCCCTCGGCTCTTACTTCTTAGGTTCCTATAGCGATCTAAAGAGGCAGAGGCAGGACGGCCGGGTTTCCATTCTCTTTCCAAGGGCAGGTGGGCTCTGGGCTAGCTTGGGCGTCAGCCTCCTCCACCGTCACCCCCCCCCCGGCCCCCATCGTTAGATTTTGCCAGGGGACAGCCGAAGCCTGAACAGAGAACACACCATCTATGTCAGGATATAAAAACTGTCTGATACCAAAGAACAGAAGGACCGAGAAGGCAGTGTACCACTCTTCTTCACCCCTGCGATCTCTCGAGCACTCCGAGAGGAGTGTAAGGAAGAGTTCTCTGTGTCACCGTTCAGAGACTGGCACTCAAGGACGTTTCTACTAATCTTGTCCCCCAAATGACATTCAGTCCTTTCTGTTTCCATGGTACATGTTAGTCCCTGACTCAAGAAAGCTGAAAGTCCGCCCTCCGGAGGCCGGGTGAGGATCTGTACAGTGGCTAGGGACCTAGGTCAAAGGCTGAAACCCACTGAAGTCTGGTTGTAATGCTCCCGCCCCACAATAGCCTGCCAGCCTTATGTTTGGAAATAAAATAGATTAATATCCATTTGCTACGTGTGAACGACTGACATCCATTTGATACACTCACACTGAGAGTAGAGATGGATGGACTTCCATTGTGTGGATCGTCACCTCAGCGCCCCTTCAACGTTTTCCTTCATCTCCCTCAGTACCATAAGCGATGACTTGGCCAGGACGATGACTTGGTCAGGGAACTTCTGTAAACTCTACTATCCCCCTTTCGGTGGTCATCTCCTCTCCCACCTTCTCTTCTTACTATTACAAACTTCAAAACACAAGTCACCTCTCAGACAAAGAGAAACAGTTCCGACTTCATTTACATGCCTTCTTACCAAGACTTTATTTCCCTATCTCCCCACCACGCTTTCTTCTGCTTCCTCTCCTATCTGCTTACCCGTGTGTCCATGTGGAATAGGACACTTCCACTTCCTGAAGCACTGAAGTTTGGTGCCTAATTGATTCTGGTAATTAATTTGTTCTACCTGCTAGATCAGATGGAAATCCTACTGCAGTGCCCAAGGATTAACACTTGACTTCACAGCACCTCCTCTAATTATCTAATAGCATGGGTTGTGAGGACTCAGTCTCCGTTAAGACACTTTTGCTATTAGCAGTAGTGATTGGAATTGTGATGACGACTAGATATCAACAAATTAGAGCTTAAAAATTGGGAGATGGAAGAGAAGTGGCTTCTTTTAATTTCCCTGAGTTTAACATCAATAATTAGAGCAATTTTCAGAGATGCGAGCCCAAATTACTCCTGCTGTGCTGTAGATGATCACCTTAATTTTAGCAAATTGACTCCAGGGAAATAAATGTGACAGATTAGAAAAAGACAAACAGAAAAAAAAAAAAAGGATTGGAAAGAACAGGAAGGAAAGAGATGGGGGGAAATCTAATGCAGTGATGGGGAAAGGCCGTGGCTGGAACGGGTGGTGCAGCAGAAATAGCAAACAAAACACAATGTATGACTGAATCAAAGAGCAGCATGGAGGGTACAGCAAAGGTGGCTGTGGACAGATTTTAAAGTGATCAAGTCATATGGGTGATAGACATAGACACCCCCCCCCCCGAACTCTGTCCATTCCCTAAACTCCAGGTAAAGAATCTTCCCCTATCATCTTTATTTCCCTCAACAATTCAGTCGTCCCCCCCCCGTCAATTTAATCTAACTCTAGCAACTTAATGTAGCAGACAGCCTGCATCTTTATTTCTTCACTTTTCTCCTCTGTTACCCATTACTGAAACTCTTTAAAAACCAAACTGGCTCAAATGCTTGAGTGCTTTATTCCTACGCTATTGGGACTCTTTTGGTATTCTTGTTTGTTAGACAACGGCGAAAAAATTTTCAGTCTTTTTTAAAAGACGGAACACAACAGCTCTTGCTGGGGAGGGGCAGAAATTGGGATCGAGAAGCCTGCTAGGAACCGAACCGGTTGGGCTCAGCGCTCCCTGCCTGGCCAGGCTCATTCAGCACCGCGGACAGATCCCCGCCCCGCCCCGAGCCCACCCCACCCTCCCCTCTGCCTCCGCAGCCTCGCTATTGGTTCTCCCAGCTCCCCTCTCCAAGCTGCCAATTTTCCAACACACAGAACCAACCTACCCCGGCGCTGGAGAGGCAAGAAGACAAGCGCCGGGGATAGCCCAGGTCGGTAGAGCAGCGGAGATCTGAGCCTAGGCGATCAGGAGCAGGTGCGGGCTTTCGACTAGGCTAGCTGCGAAGCTGTCTGCCTCCTGCACTTTGTCCTGGCCCTCACCCTGTGACAGGCGCTTTACAAGATGAATCTCAACTTCACCTCTCCTCTCCATCCGGCATCTTCTCAGAGGCCCACGTCGTTTTTCATAGAGGACATTCTGCTACACAAGCCTAAGCCGCTGAGAGAGGTGGCCCCTGACCACTTTGCCAGCTCTCTGGCCTCTAGGGTGCCTTTGCTAGACTATGGCTACCCCCTTATGCCCACGCCCACCCTCCTCACCCCTCATGCCCATCACCCTCTGCATAAGGGGGACCACCATCATCCTTATTTCCTGACCACCTCTGGTAAGTAGCAGAAGCCTCTCTAGGAGTGGGGAGACAGAGGGCTAGCTGGGTTTTGTTTGTTTGTTTTGTTTTGTTTTGTGCTAGCACAGCCCCCAGAGACCAGATCTGGAGGGAGACCAGATCTGGCCAGGTGGCTATCCTCCTGTAACAGTAGAAGGTTAGGGACATGACTGAGAGGAGAGGTCCCCTGAGGCATGCCAATTGAGGGGAACAATTCATGGTTACTTCACAGTTTTTATAAGGGATGGTGATTGTGTCTGGCCAGAGGCAGTTGGAGTGGATAGATGTGACCATACACCTGGTGGGCACTGCTCAGTCTTACTCCACTCTTCCAGACCACTTTGTTCGTTTCTTAACACCCCTCACCCCATTTCTTAACTTCTTCCATCGAGGAAGGAGGTTCCCAATCATCTTGTCCCAGGGAATCTCACTGAACTTTCCAGTGCAGAAATGGAAAAGGCTTCACTTGGCCAGCAGTCTTAAACTAGGTTGGGTCAGGAACAGTGGCCGACTCTACAGAGGACATGGAAGTGAGGGAGGGCTTGTGGGGGTCATAGGGGAAAGATTCAGATTGGCAGGAAGCATTCAGAACAGAAGAGGGCTGCAGTTTGTGAACCACCTCCACTCCCAATGTTCAACATTTAATTTGTGGTCAGTTTGCCTGGCTTCCTTCTGGCCCAGTTGCTAGAGTCACTGGAATCAGTTGCTAAAGTATTTCAGATTTACTATTTGGAAGGGACTGGGAACTGACAAAGTAAGACTGGGCCTGGAGATGCTGGGGAAATATGTAGGTTTTGTTCGTTTGTTTCCCTCAGGCTACACACACACTTCCTCAGCATTTTCGTTCCAGCCAGAATAGAAAAATTCTAGTCCCGATGCTGAGCACAATAGTAAATTGGCTCCAGGAGAAGCCGAGGGAAGGCAGCAGGCAATGTGTGAAATATGGGTGCTGGAATCCAGGAAAAAAAAAGATTAAAAGTGGCGGTAAAACCCACTCTCAAGTGCTAGCTTAGAAAGGAGATTTTGAGGTTTTTGTCGAGGTCTGCATTGCTCCCTGGCTTCACCATACAGCTGAGGATGAACTCTTCTTCTAGGGCTGGTATTGCTCAAAATCTGGTGCTAAAGCAGCTTGATTTTTGTCCCCCCCCCCCGCCCCCCCCGGGGGATTGGTAGATACTGGTGTATGAGGCCTGCATGCTTGGAGCGTCTAAAACAGCCGGTGAAGCTGAGAGTGTGGCGAAATGGAAGCATCCTTCTCGCATCATCAGAAAAAGGCACTTAAGCTCTCTTGGTTCACAGGGCTTGGAGTCGGAGGGAAAATGATCAGACTACAGAGTAGGGTCTCCAGGGCGACCTTGCCACTGACAAGGAAATGTCAGAGGCAAGCGCCACAGTTTCTTTGGATAAGCGTTTTTGCGCTGTTTTGTTTGGTTTCTGAAAGGGTAAGGGCGACCAGGGAAAGGTGCTTTTTTCAGAGTTGAGAAGGCAAAGTCCTATCTAGTCTATTGCACCAGACTAGCACTTGTAGAGGTCTGGATGGAAGCGGGTGGACAGTTTCAGTACCATCCGACTTTTGTAAGAAAACTTTGTAAGGGCCTGCAGATAACTGGATGTGCGCTTTGAGGAAGTCTCTCCGGGAAGATGATTTATTTATTTATTTTTAAAGCCTTCTGGATCTTTGCTCTATTTTTCTTTTCTGTTTCACTTGCTGTTTATTATTTGTATTTCGTGATGACCTTCAGGAAGAGATCTCCAAGTGCTATTTTGCGACACCTCTTCCCGCTGTCCTAGGGTTATTGGGAGATGGGCTCCAGGAGCTTTGGGGCAATAGGAGACAGGTGTTCGGGAACGTTGGGCTTCAGAGTGGAGTGGATCTGGGAGGCCGAAGGTTGCTTCCTGGCGATGTGGGTTCTGCCCTTCAGACCTGCTCTTGTTTCTGTAGGGGTGCCGGTGCCAGCGCTGTTCCCACACCCGCAGCATGCAGAGCTGCCGGGGAAACACTGCCGCCGCCGCAAAGCTCGCACGGTGTTTTCTGACTCACAGCTCTCCGGCCTGGAGAAAAGGTTCGAAATCCAGCGCTACCTGTCGACTCCAGAACGCGTGGAACTGGCCACAGCCCTCAGCCTCTCCGAGACTCAGGTTGGCAGAAGCGGGGAGAAGGCCCCGCCGGATTCTGCGTCCCGCTCTTCTCCCCTCAGCTCTGAACAGCTTCCCTCGCCTTCCAAGACGCGACAGAATTTATGCCTAAATTTCACATTAGATTTATCTACCTGGCTCTATGGGGGAAGGGGGGGAGGTGTCACGTTGAGTGATTCGGCTGTTATCTCCAAGTTAATAGTTATTTCTATTCCTCTTCCAACCAAGCGGGTGACAGCTGAGTTAGAGGGTTCTTGTTTCCGGAGTAGCTTTAGCAGTTTTTTGTTTGTTTGTTTGTTTTTGTTTTTGTTTTTTTTTGGAAGAGGGTCTCACTGTGTAGCCCAGGGTAACCCAAAACCTTATTTTCTGCCTCAACCTCCGTGTGTGCATCACTAATTTATGCTACCACTCTGTGCTCCTTTTACCCCCTTCCCCGCCCTCTGTGTGCTTATTTTAGTCAGTGTCATCCATAGTAAGTCTTCATAGGTACCCCAGGGCTTACACACACTGTAGTTTAAGCTTCCTCTCTCGTTTTTCTTTTGTCCTATTTATCCACCCCCTTAACCTCTTCTTTTATTCCTTCTCATGATCTTGCCGTGAAATCATTAGCCATTCAGAGCTGAAACTAATATTGTCTCCAAGAAAAATCAGTCAGTCCATTCCATTCTTGTCTTCCGGTCCACGAGTCCTGTTGGAGTTAGTTGTCTGCGTCACAGGATCATAAATTGACCTGTCCCCATCCATCCAGCGCTTACCCTTATTAATTACTATCCACATCATTGATCCTGTCACTATTCCGGGGCAATCTCTCTTGGAAGCCTTATGTCTCATTCAGCCTAAAACGATGATGTGTGACTTTCCCAAAAGCACAAGGCAACCATAGCGTTAGGGTGAATTCAATTCAGTAGGCAGAGGGCTTTCCCAATAAACTCCATCACTCCCCCAGATCTTAGCTCTGTCACCGTTTGTCTATGGAATGACATGATTTTGTTTGTATCCCCTAAACCAGGTGAAAACGTGGTTCCAGAACAGGCGGATGAAGCATAAAAAGCAGCTGAGGAAAACTCAAGACGAACCCAAAGCCGCAGACGGGCCTGAGAGCACTGAGGGCAGCCCTCGTGCCCCAGAGGCCGCGGAAAAAGTCTGAGTACAGTGGTAACACCAGGGACAGGCCATCCATGCTGCCTGAGGGCAGCCCTCGTGCCCCAGAGGCCGCGGTCGCCGACGCCCGGCTGAGTCTGCCGTCTGGTGCCTTCGTGCTTACCGAGCCGGAGGATGAGGTGGACATTGGGGACGAAGGCGAGCTCAGCTCAGGGCCGCACGTGCTCTGAGTGGCCGGGCCAGGGAGGGAGACCGGGGCGAGTTTGTCTCGGGGCCAGACGTGGTCCTTCCCTGGCGGGGAGGCTCGCCGGGAGGCTAGACTGTTCCAGCCTCCTGGGCTGTAAGAAAGACAGACGCAGCCCATTGGTCAACCTGCAGCCTTCCGCAACTCGCCCCCAAGCCACCTCCGGGTCCCTATCCTGTCCCGCCGGGATCACAGGTGTGATCGTTGGTTCCCGTGCCCGGCGTCTTCAGCGCCCGGGACCTGTCCAGTGTCGTAGCTCAAACTGGCACCTGGGCTCGCGGGGCTACAATTCGACGGAGCTTTCCTCCCCGCTGCCAGTGCAGTACCCCCTCCCATTGTCATTTCTCAGACAGTTGTCCCCTAGTTCTGTCACCCCGTACCCGCGGCCTCTCTACCCGGACGGTAACTCCCCCTTAGGCAGTACAGTTGACTGCAGATGAAGGGACCAGGTGGCTGGGGCCATGCCGGGGTCCAGGCAGAGACACGCCGGATCCTTTAAACGTTCAGTGTCCTGACAGAGTTGTCGGCGGCTTTTACTATTTCTGCTCACACCCCTACCGGGACCCACATCTCTAACTCAAATCCTTAGGCGACCCCCCTCTACGGACTGCGCTTCCATCCTCTGGAGTCATCAGTACGCTCGATGTTTCGGGCGCTTGCGGCTCTGGTGGCCCCCACAACTTCCCTCCCCACAGAATCGTGGACAGAGAACATCCGCAGCGCAAATTTTGCTTCCTGAACTTGTTGCACTTTGGTCCCGCAACCCTTTCATGTCCCTAAGGCTATTGAGACTTTAAAAGCGTTGTCTTCGGGTTGTTCGTGGACGCGCTTACTTCTCGCCTGTTTTAACAAGGTTTAGGCTGGCAACGAACACACTCTACAGCCTTCCGAATTAAGGCAAAAGGTGTTGTGGGAGCGCACCTGTTGGGGGGAGGGGGGATTGGAACTGCGGCTCGAAGCGCCACTCCTCTCCTTTGCCCCTGGAAGGTCTTCTATTCTCTTACTAGGTCTGCAATCTCTCTAGATAATAAAGGACTTGCGGGGCAAAAATGGGAAGGAGCATGCGTTTCCGGGAATGGTTTGTTGCCCCGTTCCGCTGCTAGTAGGTCACCTCCCTTGTCTCAGTTTCTTTTCCCCGGAAGCAATGAACTTGGCTAATAACCTTTACTTAACAGATTCCTTCTGCCCGACCCCAACTTATCTGTTTTTAATCATTTGACTATGATTAATGAATCTCATTCAGGTGAAAAAGGTCACCGCAAACAGTATCTTGTCTCTGCAAAACGCTCAGGGGACCGGCGCCTTTTGGTATTTGTAATGCGAAACTATGCTAATGAACTATGTGAAGACACTTTGCGGATGTAGCAGTGGTGGGGGAGGAGACTTCGGTTTTCCGTCTGCCTTGGCTTCTGGTTGTCTTCAGATCAGCGAGCCCAGGAAGACTGGAAAGGAGTGAACTTACCAAGTGCATTCCTCACCCTCGGGAGCAGAGATAAATGATTACCAAGAGCTCAGTGGTTTGAGTTTGGGTTGAATTTAATCTTTTTTTTTTCAACGAGGGGATGAATTTTCAAGATTCCTCTAGGTGAAAGTTCTGAATCCACGAATATAAAAAATGTAGCGATGCTTAAAAAACAATTGGACGAAAGAGAGCTTTACCTAGTCTGCATCATTTACGAGGCTCAACGAGGGGATGAATTTTCAAGATTCCTCTAGGTGAAGTTCTGAATCCACGAATATAAAAAATGTAGCGATGCTTAAAAAACAATTGGACGAAAGAGAGCTTTACCTAGTCTGCATCATTTACGAGGCAAAGCCACAGCTTAAAACGCAAGCATCCTGAAGCCTTCGGACTTTCCTGCTCCACAGTCACTCACGGTGGGGTGGTGGTGGTGGGGGGGCGTGGAGGGGCTGTGAACCACAGGTCAGGAAACTGAGGCTTGACACAGTTGAAGAATGTCTCCATGAAATTTGGGCTAGCTAACTGCTGAAGGTGGACACAGATAGGCCTCCTTTGGTTCTGTTCCCTTCTTTTTGTATACTCTTCTCTGGTAACAATGCCTTGGCTTGCAACTTGCTCCTATGGCTTTAAGAGAACAGCATCCTCATTTCTTTAGTTTGTGTAGTTGTGGTTAATGATGCCAATGCAGGCTCAGATTTCTCCTCTTCTGTTGAGATAATGACTGGACTTTTTCAAAGCCAGAGTCCCTGCAGAAAAGCCCCTTACTTCCAAATCATATCTCCAGTCTCAGAACTATTTACAGTAACACACACACACACACACACACACACACACACACACACACTAAAACAAAAGCCAACCCACCAAACAAACAAACCAACAAACCTTGGGTTAGAGGAGTGTGATTTGATAATAAGAGAAAGATATCTCCCATAAGAGCATGGAGCCAAGGGGAAAAACTCAGATTGTTCTAGTCCTGTGGATAATGGCTGCTAACACATTTGGGAAGACTCTTTAAAGTAACTTAAAAAACCAAACAAACAAGTGTTTGGAGAGAGAAGAGAGGGGTAGAGAGGAGAGAGGGGAGACATGAGAGAGAGGGAGGAGAGAGAGAGAGAGAGAGAGAGAGAGAGAGAGAGAAAACTCAAAAGCACTGGGCATTTATCTTTTCTGCCTTCAGATATTGCCAGGACTTACTCCGCGGGGATTGGAGTTAGAGCACTTCTTGAGCTTTTGTCTTTAAGAAGCAGGTAAACAGAGAAGCTTTCAGTTTAAGAATGGCTTTTTCTGATTGGGGCACAGTGAGTCTGCAGCCCCAGGAACTGGAGTCTGATTCAGGAGCCTTGCCTGCTTAGGGAAATGTCACTTCTAGTCACTACCCGAATGGCTGGGAGGAAAAGAGCTCTGAATGAAACAGGACATATGATCAAGGAACAGTTTTCTCACCAACCCCACCCCAGCTCAGGAATTGTGTTAAATAAAGTGATAGTAAAGTTCTCACATCACATCTCCTCCCCCCCTTCTCTCCCCTTTCCTCTCTTCTCCTTCCCCAGTCCTTCCTTTTTTTTTCCCCCAGATGCGTGATATTAAAAGACAGACACGATTTAGTCTCAATTGAATGTAACATAGCAGCAATTTTTGCTTTTGACCTTCAAAGCTGATCAAAGCCTCAATGGGCTGAAAAAGTATTTTGTCTGAATGGTCCAGGCTTTTTGTCTCAACTCAGTTTCTCTTGTTAGTAAAGATCCTACAAAACTATGTTCATTATATTACAGAAAGACACATAGACCTGATTTTGAAGTGACAGAAACATCTTTGAGTAGCCAAGGAAGGCAAATAATGTCTCATCTAATCCCAAACGGGACCTCCCCTCTTTATTTGTCCTCGTCTCTGTTCCTGAAGGGCTTCATTTCAGAGCTTCTGTGAGAGATTTTTAGTAATATTTCTTAGCTTAGTGTTAGCTAACTGTCATGCTAAGAAATACTTAACTTGAATGTATGCCACCACTTAGAGAGGATTGGCTCTCTGTGAGGTGGCAATGTGGAGAGGCCCACTAAAGGAGATTTCCTGGAGCTGAGAGAATCATGCAGTAAACACAGTTGAAGCAGTGACTCTCCATGTCTTCCTGAATTTGGCTCAGTCTACAAAATAATGAATTAGCTGACATACTTAAATGCTATGTTTATTTTGCGTGTTTTTGCCATCACACTTCAAAGAGAATTTGACAGGCTAAAATTTACAGTGTAGGAGCCCAGATACTTATTGGTGTGTAAAACATAAATAAAGGACTGACAGCCTTTCGTTTTGTCTGAGGAAAGCTTTGGGGAGGGACGAGGAGGAACTAGCTGCGGAAGCTGCAGTTGTAGGGTGAATCTACTCTGCCATGCTAAAGGTGAGGCTGGCTCTAGGAGCAAAAATGTTGGAACAATAGAATGAGTCCACAAGCCACTAAGCACCTCCTCATTAGGAAGGTTTAGGCAGAGGTTACAGGGCAAGTACAGAGTACTTTCTAGTGTGGACTTCTCTATCTATGCAAAGTGGGGTTAGATGCTCCTCCTCTCGGGAATTGAACCCAGAGCTTCGTGCATTTTAGGAGGTGTACCACAGCTGAACTCCATCTCCTGCCCTTATGTGACTCAAACATTAAGCTCCGACATCCTATCTTCTTTCTACAGGAAAGGAATGGAAAGTTTCATGTTATTTAGATGGTCTGACATTTCATGAAGATTTCAGTTTATGTATCCTAATTTAAATTAATAGACCCACAGCAATTAGAAGACAAGAGAAACAGGAAAGAGGAGGAGAGTGCAGATATTAATTCATTAAGCTCTAATACTTCATTCTAGAAAGTAAACCAAAACAAATTGCTATTTTACCAAGTTAAGGACAATGTAATGTGACTCTCAGGAAGAAACAATCCCCATTAGAAGACACATCTAGTAACTTTCAAAACCTTCATTTGACAATACCTGGGAGAAATCAAGTCTCAGATGATCACAATGACAAACTGGCAGGATTAAGAGTAGAAACTGCTTCCAGTGACATTGCACAAGCAACTGGGTTTTATGGTAAGTGACAGCAGTCTGTGGGTATTGTAGAATGTGGAAGAGAGAATTTTTTGTAGCAATTTCGGATGTAAGAATTAAAAAGAAGTTGTAGCTGGCAATTGTCTAGTACAATCTTAGGTCAACTTTTGAAAACTCTTCTGGCCAAAAGAAATCTGAACCTGGGATGAATTTTCCTGGGAGGTTCTAAGTTCCTTCACACTCTCGTTCATTAAGCCAAGCTTACAGGGATGTTTCAGAAGATATTCCTGAATCTGATAGGATGAGCTAGGTGT